TTTTTAATTTTTTTTAATGGTAAAAATAAAAATTTTAAAAAGTATATGTAAACACACGACACCGCAAACTATTTTTTAGAATTATGGAAAATTTGTTATAAATGAAAAGACCAAAAAATTATGAGAATGTGACGCAACCATATAATGAATTGACAACAATAAACGAGTTTTTCAAAGAAGACACAACTATGTGGTTAATTAATAACTATAAAACCATTTTCTCGAAAAGTGGCAACCGGATAAAATTAATTAATAACTATTAAGATATTTTTTTTCCAAAAAGACGCAACTGTAAAATGCATTACAAACCATAAAATAGTTTATTTTCGAAAAGACAGAACCCTATAATGCATTATATTTATAAAACTTTTTTTAAAAAAGATGCACCATTATGATGTATTAATAACCGTAAAATATTTTTTACGAAAAGATGCAACCATATGAAACATAATAATAATAAAGCAGTTTTTTGAAAAGATGCAATCTTAGGTAGACCAATTTATTTGAAAAGACGCAATCCTACGATGCATTAATAACCATTAAACGAAATTTCTAGAAAATATGAAATCCTAAGATGAATTAATAACATCAAAACAATAACTATTCGAAAATACAACCTTAGAATGCATTAATAACTATAAAACGGTTTTTCAAAAAGAAGTAACCCTAAGAGACATTAATAACTAAAAATAATTTTTTCGAAAAGATACAAACCTAAGAGACATTAATAATCATAGAACAATTTTTTTTCAAGAAGACGAAACCCTAACATTAATAACCTAGAATGTAAACTATCAAGAAGTTTTTCGAGAAGATATATCTTTACATAAACCAATTTTTGTTTCAATAAGACGCAACGCTGAGATGCATTAATAACCATAAAATCAAATTTCTCAAAAAAACGCAACCGTAAGAAGTATTAATAACCACAAAATATTTTTTACTAAGAAAACGTAATCAAATCATGTAACCACAAAAGCCACAGTTCTCAGGGACATTTCTAACCATAAAAAGATCTAAAAGATGAAATCCTTAGAGATTAATAACCAATAGATATTTTCCATTTCTAACAATAGATAAACATCCAGGTATAACCAATAGCAATTAGGAAATAAAAAAGTGAAATGACTGACTTGAAAGAACATGTATTAGGATTTTTT